CCCCGCGCATTCTGCGTGAGAACGACCGCCGGCCTTTGATAAGAGTCTTGGCAGCTCCCGGGGCTGCGCTTGGCCGCGGTCACATTGACAGCGGGGGGAAGGACTATGGGAACAAGGTTCAGAGCTGGGGGGGCAACAGCACAAAAGAAAGAAAAAATAAAATAGAAAAGGGGAAGAAGAAAAAGAGAAAAAGGGGAGAAAAGGAAAGAGAAAAAAGAAAAGAGAGAAAGGAAAGGGAAAAAAGAGAAAAAAGAAAAGGAAAAAGGGGAAGAAAGAAAAGAACAAACAAAAGAGAAAAGGAAAGAAAGATTAAAAAGGAGAAAGGAAAAAAGACAGACAGAAAGAAAAAACAGGAAAAAAAGAATGAAAAGAATAGAAAAAGCAAAAAAAATAAAATAAAATAAAGGAGAGAAACTGGAGCCTTCCCTCAGATCTAGCAGTCTGGGCCGCAGCCGTTTCCCAATGAAGGGGAGTCCTGCTTGCCTGAGCACACAATCCCTCTTCTGTGAAAATAGGAGCCCTGTCAGCTCCAGGAGCAATATTGAAGCCATCAGGTGGACAGCTGACTTTTTAAAGCTGAACTGAAGTTTTAAAAAGTGTGGCCCAGCCGCTTCTAGAGACTCACCGCACCAGGGTTTATTAAAGAATGTTACTTAGAAGACAAGATTGCCCCCCACCCTCATGCCACACTCAGAAGTGGAAAGAAAAGTAATGCCATTAAAAATATTGTTTTTGCAATATGAACAAAACAGCTGCAGTGACCAGAGAGAGAGTTTGTGTTGACTATTAATCATTTATCACAGTCCACTGTCACACAGTACCAGGTCCCTTAACCCCCTAAAGGCCAGAAGTAGGACATAGATTTCATAGGCTAGAAGGGACCTGCTAAGATCATTGAGTCCAGCCCCCTGACCCAGGGGCAGGAAGTCAGCTGGGGTCAAAGGATCCCAGCAAGATAAATATCCACATGTTTCTTAAAAGTGTCCAGAGTAGGTGCTTGCACCACCTCTGGGGGGAGTCTGTTTCAGGCCTCAGGGGCTGTAAAAGAATATTCATGCACATAAAAGAGGTGTCAAACCCAAGTCCAAATAGTGTTGCAAAAATCATTTTCTTTTGTCGGGCATTCAAGCCTGGTCAATCCTCTCCCCCTTTTTTAAAAAGCTTGGCTCCCACTCCCTCTTGTCCTGTGTGAACTGTGCAAGTGATTTGTTCCTGCATTGTCTGCATGTATGGATTGCATTTCTTCCATGAGTCCCAAAAAAATAAGTTAGGTTGCCCTAACAAATAATGACAGAACCATTAAAGTAACTCTTTTATCTAATTAAGTTACCATATGATCTTGTTATTGTAACCTTTGTCCTTGAAACTGTGAACTAATTTAATCCAGCTGGTAGGCTGGAAAGTCTTCACTGATTTTTCCTAAAGATCATGATTCAAAGGACTTCATAAAACCAGCCAGAGTTGGCTTTGGGGAACTGTGTAAATCCTGGATATATTCGCTGTGTTTCTGGGAGGGCTCCAGAGCAGTTTGGAGTTGTGGAAATATGCCACCTACGCTGCCATAGATAATAAGTACCTTCCCAGCCAGCTCAGTCAGCTTCTAGGATTTGCTAAGAAGCCAGAGTGACCTCTCCAAAAAGAGGAGGCATGATCTAGTGAACCAAACACTGGCTTCAGGGTAAGGAATTCCTGCATTTTACCCAGATTTGACAACAACTCCATTCTTCCCTTTGGTCATATAAAACTTTCTCCCTTGATTTTTTTTAAAGCTGTATAATTGGGATGGTGTGGTAATTTGTTAACATTTAACGTTGTTTAAGTGGGATCCACCAAAATTCTACAAACAGCCAGGATCTAAGCCATCCTCTGGTTTATTTGAACAACCCACCCATGTGATAATTTTTATTTTTTTGGATAGCTATACAGATGACTCTACTTCTTCCCATGGAGTGCTGGAGTGTCTTAAGAATCTATTGCATGCGCTTTTTGTATGAAATGGATGAGTTAAATCTGGCTGAGTCCCAAAGAGTCACCTGACTCTGCACAAGATTGTTGAGAAGCTTTCTAGCAAATTAAACCAAAGATACCAAACCAGGTTTAGGATGGTAATGGAGAATCTCTCTTTAACGGAGAGATTTTGCTCGTATTTGCTACAGTGGAGGGAGTAAAAAGACGACATTAGAAGGCTCCACGTATACACAGAAATGGACAGGTGCAAACACATAGCCTTGCATGGAAGTGAGGAACCATATGTTTAGTGAAGGGTGGGAAAAACTGGATTTGTGACTCACCACTGTAGCTGATAGTTAACTCTGCATTAAGGTCCATGCTTTGCTCATGATTTCAAATGATACAAATTATCAACAGAAGGTAGGGCAGGGTGGCACCTTACCCTTACAGATTAGCTGGTTCAGAGAGGCACAAACTATTAGGCAACAACCTACTTTATCAGCTAGGATTTGCATCTAGTAGAGTAGGTTGTTGCCTACAAAAGCTCATGCCTCTCTGAACCAGCTGCCAAAGTGCCACCCTGCCCTGCTTTTTGCCTGACTTTAGACTAAGATAGCCAAACACCTCTGATTCAGATAATGGAATTCCAGCTATAGCACGTTAGCTAGCTGCGAGTACTTCTGGAGCCTTTGTCACAACATGGTCCTTTGTCATTCATTCTCAATCTAGCCAATTTCATAAGAGACAAAATACTGCCCCAAAGCTGCATCTCACTTGAAACTAAATAGTTCATCATTAAACATGGCTAACATTCAGGATAGCATGTGTGTGGGTTTTTTTCTGTATTTAATCTTATCCCTGGAAATCCAATAGGTAAACATAAGTGTTCCTTTTTCCAGCCTCATAAAATGGCAATGTTTATAACTCCACATCCAGTTTTAATGGACCAACTTTAGAAAATACCATATTTAATCAAACTAGTGGTTCATTTTATTTTATAATCTACATCCAACAATAGCAAGCATACCCAGCTCTTTCCAGAAAGGTGAAAGACATTTCTTTATAGATTACATTGCATTACAGAGTCCTCTTTCTAGTGGTTGGATTTATAGTAAATCATATAATTAATTTAATTTACTTTACTTTCTCTAAGAATAAAGTTAACAAGTTCATGCATAGCATTATCTTCTGATGTGTACTCCAATATTTGGTTTGCAAGTTCATTATGTATTATATCTCAGCTACCACAGGGAGCTACTATCTGGAATCATATGTATGAAAGGATATTAAGCTTTTCCTACAATGTTTTGATAATTAAATGTTTTGGCTGGTTATTCTGAGGGACAAATAATCCCATACAGTTAATCCTCATTTTTCATTTAAATGCTTGAAAATTGCATGATTAAAACTAACAATAGTTATGAGGAATGTTTTCAGAGGTTGATATTTCTTAGATTACCCCCAAATTAAGAGTGCAGTGCAAAATATAGAACCATCCACAACAGTTTCCCTTTATTGCCTTAAAATATGCCCACTTGGGTCTGTCAGTTAGCAGTAAACATCTCATTTACCCATCTCCTCCAGTTACCCTAGTGTCTCCTTTTTCCCTTCTTCTTTCCAGTTCCTTTGCGTTCCACCTTTCACTTTCTGTGAACCGCTAAAATGTCAGGGGTCAAGCCACAAGAGGGATTTAGGCATTGTGATTCTCAGCAACCACATCTTATTTTTAGGTGCTTAACTCTAGGTGTTGGGTTCAGAAATCCAAGTTGGGTGCTGAAGTTCTCTATACAGTGAAGAAAGGGTTGAACAGTTAGAAAGGGATCTGCAAAAGACAGGACAGGATGCTGAGTGGGAAGATGCCTAAACAAGCTACTAGGAAACACTGAAGAGATGAACGTGTTTCAAAGCCTGTCTTTCTCCCAAATTTAGGCACTTACCTGCAGCCCTGTGTTAGGCACCTATTTGAGACTTTTTTTATTACTTATTTCTAGGTACAAAGCTCATCCATTTAAGTATAGGGGAGTTTCTTGTTCTTTTAAGACTTGGAAGAATACCTTTTACATAATAGCCTCGTGGTTAGAGCACTTGCTTTGGGAAGCAGGAGACTGGGAATAGCCATTCTTCAGCCAAGGGGGATTCAGAACTTTATATCCCACCTCCTATAAAAGGAGCCTAATCCCCAAACTATGTACTAGGCTGGGATTAGTAGTAACTAACCCTCCTGTTTAACCTGGCCTGCTATGCAGCTATGACTGAAAGATTTATGAAGCCATAAAGAAAGAGAGTAAGCAGGAAGTGTTCTGATTCTGTACCTCAGTTATGAGGACACTCTCTTAGTACACAAGCATCACAGGTTGTGGTTATTATGTAAAAGGTGACTGACATTGCCACCTCATCCCACTAGGCTTTTGAACAGAAGTAGCCATGGTTGTTGTGATTAGTGTTGAACTGAATTACCTCAATCAGGTTAGGCAAGCTCAGACTACAACAACAGGCTCGCACCCCTCAGGGGACTGAAGCATGGTAA